CACTATCTGTTGATTTCCGGTATACGGTGGCTTTTAATTTCCCATCACTGTTGTGTGTCATGCAGTTAATTTATCGTAAATCATAGTCATCCCCACTAACCAACAAATAGGAACATCAAACAGAACACCCAGCACTGATCACGTCACTAGTCATAAGGAATCTCACTGATTGGTTCCCCGACTGCCTTGAAACCCAATCAACCTACTTACTTACTCACTTGGCCTGACGAAGCTTTTGTGTCAAAAGCGAAAGTTTGCCTAGCAATAAGTCCACCGATTGTTTATCAAACCCCTCTGAGAAGATGCTGGTTTCATTCATACGATTATCAGCGCGGCAATACATGTCAATAAACCGATTCGCTCACTTGGGGTCCGAAGTACTTTTAGTCCTTGTGGTCAAGGTCGATTAGGTGTTTGAGATGACAAATCGGTTCCCTTCAGGTTGATTCGGTGTGTTCAGGATGTGCATGCCTGTAGAATTGAATGTTTCAACAGGTTTAAATTCATGTTTCCCCACCTAGCATTGCTTTGTTCCCATCGACGTGGCCTGATTGATGCTCCGGTGCTTTTTGTTGGATCTAAACTTGGTTGGATATTTGCACCACACGAAAGGACCCGAATTAGGAATAGAGAGCAAAAGTGATGCACTTATTGACTACGTCTTAAAGTGTAGCGGTGATACTAGTGATGGGGAGGCACGCGAGTAGTATGTGTTGTTCATGGAATTTTGCTTTGTGTCTCTTGAAAAGGAGAGATCTGTTTCGGAGTTTGTGGAGTCGCTTTGTAACATTTGCTTGGATTTGATTGATGAATGATTGAAGTCAATGAATATCCAGGGAAGTTCAACAAGTTGCATTCAGGAGAAGATCGATGTCCAGTTTTTTGTAAACAAGATGCAAATGAGAGTTTTGCTTCCCGGTCCAGTGGTCTGTAGTTGGTCAGTTGGCATTTCTTAACGAATAACTCCGCAGTGAAGGCCTTCTTTCTTTCAAGAGTAGCGGAACCCACTACATTTGTACCTGAAAAGGATTTGCCCGAACTGGAGACGTAAGTACACTTTAACGCTAAAACTAATGTACATGCCAAATCTGTTGTTCACATTGATCCCGGTCAGGGTTGATCGATGGAAGACAGCATAATCAAATCAGGGACATCATTCAGCAGGCAGAATACAGACGAACACTCAATGAATTCACAGGCTAAGTCTTCCGAGTAAATTTCGCATCTTCCATAATTCAGATTTTCGAGTTAATAGGATCGTTTTTTCGACCTTCGCTTATTTTATAAATGCGCCTTACTGCGAGGTGTGGTCATAACCTAGTTAACTAGTTTCCCCCTGGTTGTTGTAGGTACAGCCTCCAGTGCGTCCTTCCGCTGAACATGTTCTTGGAGAAGATCTATATCTTCCTGTGGTTCTGGCACTGCGTGATCGGATTGGTCACACTGAGCAGTTTCATCATGTGGTTCTATCGAATGGGTTTCGCCAGCCGTCGTGTAAAGTTCATCAGAAAATACCTCAAAATAATGTCTGTACTGCGTGACACAGACAAGGCAGCATCGAGTAAATTTGTGGAGAATTACCTCCGCCCTGATGGAGTTTTTCTTATCCGACTCATCGCCATCAATGTGGGTGATCTGATGGCAGGCGACTTGACTTGCGAGTTGTGGCATATATACCGACACAAACGTCTCCACGAAATCGAAGATCAGAAATTTCTGGATGCCGCAGGTGACTTTGTCATCCCCACCGGCCCAGGCTACCCTGGTGACGCTCCCATGGATGTGAGTCACACTGCCGGTGGCGCCACAAGACGACTGCCTAAAGATCATGCAGCAAGTGCTCCTCTTCACATAGCGAACAACGTGAACAATAACAATTCAAACAATAATGATGACAGCATTGTTTGACGTTTTTTTATCAGTCAGAAACTCATAAACTCTTGTTTCCTTTCATTTCTATTTCCCCGCCAAATAACGCGCCACTCAGCGCTGATTGTGATTGGGTGATGCTGATCACCTGACGTCAAATGGCCTTCAACTAGACAGTGGGTTTGGACGAACGGATGAGATGGACACACTCAACACTTTTACGTCCAGTGTAATAAAATGTCATCTACACACGTTGCAATCATATGCTGTAAAATTCTTCGAAATTGTTTTATGCTCACTCACTCACTCACTCAATCAATCAACCACTCACTAACTAAGTCCAGTTTTACTGTACGCTACAATGTCTTTATCAAGGTCAGTTTGTTTTTCTATTCACAATTCACAATACGCTGCAACCCACAATTCGAGCGCTCAAACTTTACCTCCTGATATACAAAAATACTAATGGGGCATTTGGTTGATCGATTTGGCGATGCCACACCCAATCAAGAAGTGCTTTCAGGCTACAACAAGGACAACAACAACAACAACAAGAGGATCGCGACCGAAAGGACGAAAGTTTGTGCGTTTGGCGCGAGTGTTCTGAAGCGCTTTTCTGTACACAGTAGTCGAGCAACTCTAGATAAAATGGTTTAATTTTTCTATCCTAGGAATGTGTTGTTTATTTCCGTCTGATGAATCGCTTAAGCAGTAGATTAATAATATAAAAATTTGATTCTTACCACTTTCTTTCACCGTTCTGGTTTACGACCAGCCGATCGGGGATTGCTCGCGAGATTATCTCCCAGGCTGCGGGGTTTCTGTGTCGTAAATGAAACGCAAAGACCTACCAGCTGGCAATGTTGATTCTGTTTGGCAGCTTCGAAACCATAACATCAGAAGCCAACCGTTCTAACAACATAGTAAGGTACCACTTCTCCATGTGCTTAACGCTAGCAGCATCGATCGTTGTTCTATGAATCACGTGACAGAATCACGGTGATTGGGCAAACCAAATTATTAGACTACATAATCAGTCACTTTTTGGTAGCAATCACTTGTCTGACGCAACGGGTTACACACATTCAAGCGTGAAACTGATTTCTGTTAGGCAGCGCGAAGGAATGTACATCTCCTCGTTAGGCCACCGGTGTCCAGTCACGTTACGGCTAGTCCACTTACTTAAAAAACAGAAAATGTGCTGATTTCGTGCGTTTCTACCCAAAACTGATGTGAAGATACTACTGAAATGACAAGAGACTGCCCTCATCAGTAGCAAAAATGATGTTACAAACCGCATGATTTATGTCAAGAAACCATTTTTAATCAATTTCATATTCGCGAATAATGGATTCTAACTTTGATTGACTGGCGAAAACGGAATAAAAGTTTGTGGTGGACTGCGCAGCTGCTGACTGAAGCCCAGCTAAACGCTATTATCAAAGACGTAACGTTAAGCACCTTCAGTACAAACTATAAGAAACGCCCCTAGGTGAGTGTCCTGCCTGGAATCCCCCTGTGGGATGCCTTCAGTTTGCGGCTGACTGTGAATCTGAAAGTCGTGAAAACAGCCAGCACAATGACATTCTGTTAGCGAGAACATCATTAGGTGAAGGGAAACTTCCGTCGTTCCTGGTGTGACGGTGATACTACTGATGGGAGAGGCATGCGAGCAGTATGTTTTCTCGTAAATCCGCTTTGCGTCTCTTGAGAAGTGAGATCCAATACTTTTGGATTCGCTTCGTGGCATTTGCCCAGAGTTGAGCAACATTCAATGAATATCTAGAGAAGTTCAGGAAGAGGCGTTCAAAGAGAGGATGTATATTCAGTTTTTGTAGACAAGATGCATATGAGGGTTTTGCTTCCGTGTTCAATAGTCCAGTTGGCATTTTCTAATAGATAAGTCCGCAGCGAAGGCCTTCTTCTTTCCACTGGTGTTTCAGTTTTACATGAATGACCATTGGCTTGTTCGCTGAGGTTCATCACCAATCGAAGTGACATCATCAGTGAAATGTTGGGGAGCGTAGTCGAGGATGGCGATGAGTCGATGGTTGAATGTTGAGTAGTGTTCAATGTGTGTTAATATGAGTACTGCTAGCCAAGGCTGACCTTCAATCACGATTTGTCTTTCGGTCAAAGGTCTGTTATCCTGTGCGCTGAGTGGTCAATGACCACGTGACGTTTGAGTTTGGCCTTCCTTGCTCTCGTAATCTGGTCGGTGCTGAGGTAACTTCTTTCCTCAAGCTCTCTGTATTTCAGTTTGTGGTCTTTGTTGATCTGATTCCGAGGAGTTTTTTGTTTCTTAGGTTTGCTTCTTCATCAAATAGAGAGAGAGAAAGAGCGGAGGCATTATGAAAATCGCTTAAACTTCAAAAATTACAAACCTTAAAGTCGATACTTCCCACATTGCCAGTCATAAATGAATGAGTAAATGATGTGCAAATAAACAGACAGTCAAAGTCCTTGTGATCTGTCATGAAATCTACTTGAGAATTGCCTGTGGAAGAGACGGTGTTGTACTACTAATAAACCTCAAAAGTAGTCTGTCACTTTATAGACATCGCACTCGTTTAGTTGTTCTGATATTGCTTCGTGTTTCAGCTAGGTTGGCTGAGTAACGTGTGTTCAACCACGGTGTCTTCAAACCTGAGCAACTGGGGGCCTTTCTATGGTTGATATGGTACTTACGCTGTCCAGTATTCAGCTAAATCCATGCTAAAAATTCGTTCGCAGCGCGTTTGATAGGGGATGTTAATGGTGCTCCTTCAGTAGCCAATCATATCGAAAGATTCTAAACGAGCACGCAGAAATCAAGCTACTTTGGACTTTATGTGACAGAACGGTTCCTGGATTAATTTATAGTATTCGGATTGAAAGTACTAAATACGTTATATACAGATGTCGCTTTGAACGTTTCAAAATACAAGGGTACAAGCAAGAAGCGATACCGTCAGCTATGCATAAAGTGGGAAGGTCTGACCGATGTTATAACAGTACAAGGGTGATTGTACCATGTAATATGCTTTCATTCAAGAGGGGGCGAATTGGCTCAGTGGTTGGAGCTCGAAGTTACTGACCGGAAAGTCTGTGGTTTGAACATGACCTCTGCATCTCCAATTCTCCTGCCTAGACTTGGGGAACCTTGTAGTTACCCAACCCTCATGCTTCCTTTGGATGGCATGGCACCTAGGCGCCAAAAGGTATTGCAGCTGAACGGTTTTTTAGAACTTTCTCTTCACTAAACTCATAACAGAGGTCTAAAACACTTGTAAGCTGATTTGTCTGCTCATCACATGAAAAAAACGTTAAAAAACATAGACGTTTCTTCGATGTTGAAGACTTATTAGAGTGCTCAATGACAAATAAGGCACCATACAGATTTCTCCTCAGTGTTTCTACGTAGATACATTCAAGAATGTCCGCTTTATTCGATATAAATAGCGTGGAAGATTCTGTTGAGTCTAGGCAGTTCAATTGTGCAACTTATATCAAATATGAAGAATACTGTCAACGAGATATCTAGCTGGAATCTGTGTTCCAAAACCATAAAAACTTACAGTTGATACTTCCCAAATTGCCTGTGGAAGAGAAGATGTTGTACTACTACCAACCCTCAAAAGTAAGCCGTTACTCTGGACACCGCACTCGGTTAGTTGTTCTGGTAACGCTTGGTGTTCTAGATAGGTTGGCTGACTAACGTGCATAGCTGTGTTTGACCCCGGTGGCTTCAGGCCTGAGCAACCGTCAACAAGAGATTCAGCTAGGATTCACTTGAGTCTTGATAGGCAAATGAGTGTATTTGTCGAATTTCGTGCAATGCGGGTTCAAGTAGACTATGAGGTTCATAGGAATTCAAGGATCACGCCTACCTGATTGGGCCCAAAAAGGGCGTAACCGATCGTAGACTGTCAGTAAACGTATGAGCAGTGTCCACCATCAAATCTAAGGATGTTTTTGCGATAAACTGCTGACATCGTCAGCACAAGAGAAATATTTGTCCGCTACTCTCAAACAGAAATTGCTGCGCGATTGATTAAATGACTGATTTTAGCTAACGTTGATGAAAGACATGGCTATCTCAAATGGACCTACCCGTAGCATTTCGTCAGGTAGCCCGGTAGCCGAGGAACATACTTGGTTTTCAATACCCAGGATAAGGGTAAAACAAACTTTGCCATTGGCATGAAAGAACTTTAGAATGACAGCTAGAGATTGATTGCTCTAGTCTACACGCGGTTTACAACAGCGAATTTATATACACTTTGATCATGTCTACGGTTTCCTGAACTTGTTTACTGCATCCAATCCAATAGTTGAATTCCTAAAGGGCCGTTCCTCATTCTGGATGTACTTTTACATGATATCCTGTTAGTTTTATCCGTTAACTTGAAAACAAACTCCGCGGACGCCCAAAACGTAGTTAGCAAAACGTTCGTCAGTTTGACTGACGGCAACGCTCTTTACTTCAACTGATCGTCTTCTAACAGCATATCACTTGGCGCTGATTTCGACTTGTTGTGCTTCACGGCCTGGCACAATGGATTTATGCTTTCTGACATTGCATATATCAGTGTCGATAGAGCTCTCTCCGGATTACATACCAATGGATTCACTTTGGCTTCCGCATCATAGGCGAACTTGGTATCCCATACTTCGTGTTCTATCAACATTTACAAGCTTTTCAATGAAGACTTCGTCCACCAGATAAAGCCGATCTATGCTGAATAAGCAAGGAGCACTGTACAGCCAACGGAAACCCTCTTTGGAATCGTCAGTGATGCGTCCCTTATGAATCCCCAGTTGAAGACAAAACGGTTCGGCTACGAGTGGTTGATCAGCATTTGTGATAAACTGGCACTTGCACAGTGTGTGTGGTCGCCCATTCCTCAGTCAAGGAACTCAGATCATATGTTCAGTTGCTGACTGACTCCTCGAGCGACGATCCTAAGTGATGATGTGCAATGCCTTCTGCGACAGCCACTGGTAGAATGCAAACTGAGAAACCACCAAAACAACCCGTACTCCGAAAACAATTTTCGAGGTCGTATGTTTCAACTTCAAGTGTACTAGTTCCGATTTCTGACTGACAGTTGTCGAGCCCGCATTATTTACTTTGCAAAATAACAATTAAGATCAGGAATAAAATCGAACACTTCATAAATTTTTTAAACTTCAGAGACATTGGACTAATGTAATTCAAAAGTGAACTTTTTCAACAACTGTCAACTGGCTGTTTCAAAACGCGCGGCGTCGTATCAGGCACCAGGGCTCAGGATACCATTGACAGCGCATAGCCGTAGTTTGGATTCCACTTGAAATTAACAGTTAAGTTGGGAAATTCATCAAGGGAGCTCGTTTTTATGCGATCACTGTCCAACCTTCTGCTGCTCACTCTCCAGTGCACCATGATGTTTGTTTTGCGTAGCACAGAGTGAAAGGGTAGGATGGAACAGTCAGCCAAAAATACCAAAAATAGAAAAAATCGTAACGACCAATCAGATTCAAAGAAAAAAGTCCTCAACACAACACAAACCGTGAACGGCCCAATAGAATGTGGACCTAAGCCCCAAAAGAAAGGAGCCATCAATAAAAACAATGGAACAGGAGCTACACAGACCACAATGCAGCATAGATAGCGAGCGGGCCAATAAGACTACAAAAAGATCATATACCAATTGACCAATCATATGAGAGGATATTATATGGCCCTCAAGAACTTTATAAACGCAGTCAGGTACGGTG